AACTATAAAATTATATATATATATTATATATATATATAATATATATATACCATCTCAAGTTTATAAAACTGATAAACTAATATTAACTTTTATTTCTTTTTTCAGATCTTTATTCGGGGTACAATGGTGGAGCTACAACAGGAACTAACAGTTCAATTAGGTCCAAAAAACCCAGAGGAGAAAAGGCCATTACAGACATTGTTAATCCTAGTACAGGAAAAAACATAAGTCATGAAATATATAATGACGACACATCTATCGAACATGAGTCTAATAGTCGTGAAACTCCTCAACTACAGGTGCGTTTATATTTCAATCATTTATCATAAGTAATCGGCTAAAAGAAAAGTGAATTATGTGTATAAGTTATAACACCAAATCTTAATAAAGAATAATGATTTTTTAGCCAGTTACTTGTGTTATATTTACGTCCATACCCGAGCCATGATATGATTTATTAAATTCTTATGAAACTGCATATAATTATTATTTTGCATATAAATGAAAAATATTAAATTTTCAATGAAGATCTCTTTTTTTAAAGTAAATCATTAATGATTGATGATTACGAATAAAATTTGCACGTAAAATGAAAGTTAATTAAAATAATATTACAATACAAAGTTCTCTTTTTTACCGTTTCATTTAATTGAAATGATCATATATAAACATGGCGATAAAAAAAATGAAAAAGGTAGAAGACGTAAAACAATATATTGAATTAGTTTATTTGTGTTTCTTTTGTCGGTGATTTATGTTTTTGTAAGTGGTAACAAGTATATATGATTTGAGTTTGAGAAGAGTTTTTGGTTGTCTATTGCCTAATTTTCGGCTCCGTACTACGTCTCAGCCGTCTATCACGCAGATTTGGTGATTGTTACAGAATAGTAGCGGAGCTGAGGTGGTGGCCGATTTTGCGGCACGCGTTGCTAAAGCCGCAACCGAAAGTTCGGATTCCGGTTCACCAGTACCGGTAGTTACTACGCCGGAAGCAACATTCGTGCCGCAAATGACGACACAAAGTATGACAAACATTAAAACCACCTCAAATGGTATAAACAACAACAGTCATTCTACCAACAACAATGGCTTGGTGGCTCCACAATCACAAAATATGAGCAAGGTGCATGCGTTATGTAATCAATCGTTAGAGACGCAATGCAGTCAAAATAAATTAATCCCAACTCCATCGGCGGCGGCGGCACCATCATGTATTGTGCCATCGGCTGCAACCTCGCCCGTTACCACCACTACTTTGCCTACGCCATTGGCGGCCACCATTTCCTCGGCTGCCCCTGTATTATCATCCTCCTCTACTCCCTCTTGCGCGATTAAAACTACAGCAGTTGAATCTAAACCATTACAATTCTTCGCAAAAGAGTTTCATCCTAGAGGAGAGAAAAAGACTACAAATAGCAACGAGGAAATAGTAGCCGTAGTCAATGATAATATTCCTCCTGCACAGCCTATGACTACTACTACTCCGACGGCTAGTACCACCCTCGTAGACCAAGAAGTAAAGAGAACTACGAGTCCTCCATCGGTGGTCAATGTTCAAGCGACATCTGCTGCAACCCAACATCAGCATCAACCGCAGCCACAACAGCCGCAGCACCACCACCAACACCAACATCAACATCACCACCAACAGCAGCATCAACAGAATTACCAACAACAATCAGTACAACACGCTGCTCAAAATGTTGTTGTTACTATTCCAGAGGTCAGCAAACCTTCCTCTAATGCTGCTAATGTCAATCCCACACATATAAGGGAAACTTTTTCGAACAACTCGACGACGACAACGACTGCTGCTCCAAAGAGCAGTTCTCCTCCAAACAAATCGAACTCGCCACCAAGGAGGAAATCGCAGCAGTCACACAATCAGACAAATAATGCTAACTCTGAGCCGTTAGCCATTAATGCTAAAGAGCTTAGAGAAAAGAAAAGAGAAAAAAGCATTAATTCTCGAGGCGTGACGACGACTCCAGCACCGGCGCATAATCAACCGGATCATCACCACCACCACCATCAAAAAACGAACGGTGATGCCAATGGAGACAAATCGGAACAAGAGGCAATTGTACCACCACCAATTGCTAGAAACGAAGTTCCGCCTAAGCCGACCGAAGGTGAGTTTTATTTGTTATATCTATTTCTTTTTTACTTTATCATTTGTCATCATTATTCCTTCCTTCCTTTTTTTTCGATAATCAAACTATAAATTACAATAATAGAAATTATTTCTATTGATAAATTAATCATTCGTAGAAAAGAGAGAGAGAGATCTATTTATATAATATACGAATTTTATACATTCGTTTAAATAAATATAACATTTTCGAATAATTTTCATGAATATTATTCAGGGTTCGTATTTCGTTCGATCTACAGTGTGTTCCATTTTGTTTCTATCGTTTTCTCTCTCTCTCTCTTTTTCTCTCGCGCGCGTTTCGATGAAAACAGGGCTTGAATATTCTAAAAGATTTTGCGGATGTGGCGTGAGCGCTGTTTCCAAGCATATCGACTTACTCGCCATCTGTCGGCAAGGTGGTTCACTTTTGAATTGTACTTGCATGTTGTGCCCGTCGTTGGCGTTGTAGTCGTCGTGGTAGCTTTCTTTAGCGTTTCTATCGTCTTGTTGCCTTTGGGTGGTAGAAGAGTGAAAGTGGAATCGAACCGAGAAGAGACAGTAATTGAGAAGTAGGAAAGAACGTAAAAAAAAAAAAAGAAATATTTAGAAATATATAAAGAAAAGTTAGAGAGTGGGAGTAGAGGGCAACGAGTAGTAGAGTGTTGTGTGTTCACATTTATATTAGGGATGAATAAATCGCAAAAACGGCGGGTGTGGTGTAATATATGTTTCGTTTATGTGACTTTATAGAAATTTTAAAACGCGTGAGGGTGAAACGAACAAATTTCACGAGCTTAACCTACAAATTCATGCACGCTCGTCTTAAATTTCCCTATCTCTGTGTTACCGGCCGCGTGTTCGATTCTTAAAACGAAGGGGGTTAATCTCTATGCGTTTAATATTCTTTTCATTTTGTTTCTACTTTTTGTTATTTCCTTCCATCAAAGGATTAGTTTTTTGATTATTATATAATATACGAATATATAAATATTAGAAATACTTTGATTGGGGGAAAAAGAAAAAAATAAAAGATTTGTTTTTTTTTTTTTATAAATGGTGGTAAGCATTCAATATTGCGGTTAACTAACGCCTGGGAAGAAGAAGAAGAAGATGTCCGTCGTGACTTAGTGGATTATTATTCTTCTTTAAAAGAATTATATTTCGTTGTTCGTTGTTTGTCGTCGCGTGGTATAAATATAACATGGCGAAAGTATACACATGACTACTACTATTCTACGTTTCTAAAAACCACCGTATGGTTGGTTTATAACCAACGAAAGATGCTTTACTTGTCGTTTATTGTATAATTTGTTAACTTCCTTTTTAAATGTATCGTATTAGTGCATTATTCAAGATAAAACAAAAGTTTGTCATATAAAAACTTAATTTCCTTTTATACTCGTGTCGAATATTATAGTGTTCGTTCTACATTAACCAAAATGGGGAATAATAAAAAGGGTGAGTTTTTAATGTGTTTGTTATGTTCTAACTTAGAAATTATTCTTAAATGTTTAATTTAAAATGAGATATTCGTTAGATTGTTTATATATATATCAGTTTAAATTGATTCAATTTAAAATTAATTTTACGTTTTTTTGTTTTTTTTTTTTTTCCTTATCAAAAGGTATTAAGAAGGGAAGAAAACCGTTGATATATATACGTGGTAGATTATAATAATAATATAAAATTTAAATAAA